AATATAAAGAACATTCAAACCTCAACAGTAAGAAAACAAACTCAACAATAATTTTTAAAGGGGCAAAAGCATTGAGTACTTAACCAAATAAGATATACAGATAGCAAATAAGCACATGAAAAGATGCTGAACCTCATTAGTCATTAGGGAAATACAAATTAAAACCATAACGAGATACCATTACATACCTATTAGACTGGCTTTAGAAGAAAAACTGACAGTACCAAGTGCTCACAAAGATGTTGGACAGTTGAGATGCTCCTCATGCTTTTCTGGTGGGAATGCAAAATGTTTCAGTCACTTTGGGAGAGCTTGGCATATTCTTATTAAGGTAAACATACCCTTACCTATGACCCAGTAATCCTACTCTTAGGTCTTTACTCAAGACAAATGAAAGCATATGTCTATATAAAGACTTGTATATGAATAGCAACTTTATTCAAAATTGCCCAACCTGGAGACAACCCAAATGTCCTCAAACCTGTGGGTGGACATCTGTACATGAATCTCACATGCATTTTGCTAAGTCAAACCCAAAAGGCTACATACTGTATGGTTCCATTTATGTGACAATCTGGGAAAGGTAAAATTTTAGGAACAATAAATAGATCAGTGGTTGCCAGGGGCTGGGATTTGGGGTGCGGGGAAGACTAACCTCAATTGGAGAGCATGACAGAGATTTTGGGAGTGAAGGATCCATTTTGTATCATGACTATGCTGGTATATATGCATTTTTCAAAACCCATTAGACTGTACATCAGAGACAAAGAGAATGAAGTTTGCTGTATGACAATTAAAAAGTAAATTTAGAAAAGAATAGAAATGTCTTAGAGCAAGTCACTTAGTTGAATTTGAAATAGAAAAAAGCCAGCCTTTTTCTAAGTTACTATACCGTATTACTGTATTTTAAAATTATACCAGTAAGCACCTTTCAGTATTCTTTATAGCATCCAGAAATGGATCTGTTCCTGCTTAGGTGTTCAGAGGTAATAAATATACCTTACTTTGCTTGCACCATTTATTTTAAATAGCTAGGCTGGGCACAGTGGCTCATGCTTGTTATCCCAGCACTTTGGGAGGCTGAGGCGGGCAGATTACCTGAGGTCAGGAGTTCAAGACCAGCCTGGCCAACATGGCGAAACCCTGTCTCTACTAAAAATACAAAAATTAGCTGGATGGATTAGCAGGTGCACACCTGTAATCCCAGCTACTTGGGAGGCTAAGGTAGGAGAATCACTTGAACCCGGGAGGTGGAGGTTGCAGTGAGCTGAGATCGTGCCACTGTACTCCAGCCTGGGAGACAGAGTGAGACTCCATCTCAAAAAAAAAAAAAAGAAAAAAAAATCTAGTTTCTCTCTTAATCTGAAAACTTTCTGCAGTGTTTTTATTTCATTTTAGCATCTAATTCCACATGTCAGTTCTCCGGAAAAATTTATCCCCTCCTTTCATTACTTTAACTTAGCTAGTATTTTTCTTTGCATGTCTCTTACTTTTCATCAGTAAGTGTTTTATTTGGTTTCTTCCAGTCCCACATAACGCTGCTTCTTGATTTTAAAGCAATGTGATTGACTGCTGAGTGGCTGGCACCTGTGGGAGGAGGAAGCCGTGTGGGTGCAGGAGGCAGCTGGGCTGTGTGGGTAGGATGCAGTGACTCACTTTTGTCATGTGTTGATTTTTGATGCAGAAACGTTAAGGACCCCAAAAGAAAACTCTTTATTTGTATTAAAGAGTCCTTAAGTCATTTTTAGCCTCGAGGGGGGAAAAAACCTTCTGAAGCTCCTTTGACCTGTCTTCCCATTTCATAAACTTCTTCTGTGTCTTTTACCTCAGTTTCATCTGATTGATTTCTCATTTACCAAAGTTTAATGCTAATTTCATGCCCATTGGACAAGATGGACTCTGCACCAAACAGCTTCTCAAGCGTCTGCCGTATTTTTATGTGCTGCACTTTGGTTTTATATTCTGTCACACAGGTCTTGAATGTTGTTCATTTTATATTTTGATAGGTTCCTAAATTATGAAAGTAATCAATGTTCATAATAGAAATTGTGGGAAATATAGAATGTATAAAATAGAAAAATAAAATAATCCATAATCCCTATAACACAGCTATTACCAACAAAAGTTGGTGTACAACTTTTCAGGTATTTTTTATGCACATGGATATATACATAGAATGTAAACATCATAATGCACTCATTATAATGTGTACATTGTATTTTTAATGTATGTGCTATACATGGCAGTATGTATATTATATTTTACTTTTTATTTTTACTTAATATAGTTTGAATTTATCCCCTGTTGCTAAGTATTCTTCTACATTTTTCTTTTTCTTTGGTTACATGAAATTCCATTATTTGAAATTATGATATACATATATATATCTCATGATTACATATATACACATACACACATACATATATAACCATTTTCTTACTGATAGGTATTTAGATATTTTCCATTATTTTATCATAAAAAATAATTTTTCAATGGACAGACAGGTAAATCTATTTTCACATTTATAATAATCTTCTCAGAGTAAATTCCAAGGAATGGAATTATTGGGTCAGAGTGTACATAATTTTTAGGATTTAAGCCTCCTAGAAAGTTTACACTTGGCTGGGATGTGGTGGCTCATGCGTCTAATCCCAGCACTTTAGGTGGCTGAGGCAGAAGGATTGCTTGAGGTCAGGAGTTTGAGACCAGCCTGCGCAGCATAGTGACACCTGTGTTTACGATAAAGTTTTAAAAATTAGCCAGGCATGGTGGCACACACCTGTAGACCCAGCTACTCAGGAAGCTGAGGCCGAAGGATCGCTTGAGCCCAGGATTTTGAGGCTGTGCATATACAGTGAGCTATGATTTTGTCACTGCACTCTAGTCTGGGCAACAAACTGAGAACTGTCTGCCTTTAAAAAAAGAGAAAAAGGAAAAAAAAGAAAGAAGAAAGTTTACACTTCCCACAGCATAAAAGAGTGTCATTTCTCTGCATTTTCATTGACTTCTTTACTTTGCTCACTTAGGCAAAACAATGGCATTTTATAGTTGGTTTAATGTGCATTTATTAGAAGCAAGATGAAGAATAATTTCTCATATGTTTATTTACCTAAATTTCTGTGAATTTGCTTGCTGATGTCTGTAGTGTGATTGTCTAACGTAATGTTTTTATCATTGCTGAGTTATTTTAAATTGATCATAAGAGATGATTTATAAAGATATTAACCTTTCATCTCTCAAATATTACATATATTTTTAACAAATTATCTCCTTTTAAATTTGTTATATATTAACATTTTCGTCGTAATTATGAATGGCTTCTGTTTTATATTTCCGAAATGTTTATTGCAATTACAAAGGAAGCTCTTTGTTTTCATAAGAGTTTTCCATCTTGATGCCTTACTAAATTGTATTATTACTTCTAATAGCTATTCAGCTAAGTCTGTTGGGGTATTTGGTTGACATCCACAACATCTGCAAATAGAGATAATTGTGTATTTTATTTTCTAGAATTATATCTTCTTACTTTCTAGAAATCTTATTGCAGTGGCTGGGATTTTTCAAAAAGCCATTATATAATAAGTAGTGGCAATAGCTGACAGCCTTTGTTTCTGATTTTCATGAGAATACCTAAATGCACAAAGTTGGAAGTTGTTAGGAAATGTGTATTATTCTCTATGTTATGGAAATGCCCTTATATTTTTAATTTGCAGTTATTTTTTAATTTTAAAATTTTATTCTTCTTAGAGCTAGAGGTCTTGCTGTGTTGCCCAGGCTGGCCTCAAACTCCTGGCCTCAGGCGGTATTCTCACCTCAGCCTCCTGAGTAGCTGAGATTACAGGTGTGTGCCACCATGCCTGCAATTATTTTTAATGATAAATGGATTGAGAATTTTAATTAATGCACTTGGAACATATTCGAGATGCTGATGACTTTTTTCCATTGAGCTATCCTTGCATCCCCCAAATAAATTTTAAACTCACGATCTTGGTCTTGTAACACTTGATACATTTTGTTAGTTTTTCTTTCATATTTTTGTTTATAGCCATAAAGGAGTTTTAGACTAATCTAAATTTCATTTTTGTGACATTGTCAATTTTTGATATCAAATTTCTACTACCTTGTTACTGGTCATCTTTGAGCCTTGGATGGATTTGCATCTGTGGTTATATTCCCCTTAGTTATATTTTCTATACCTTTTTTCTCTCTTTTTTTCTTGATTATACTTACCAGGGACTTACTAGATATTAGTTATTTGACTCTAAAACCCAATTCTGGATTAACTAATAAGCTTACCTATTTATTTATTTAAGTCTCATTTTACATGTGTTACTGCTATTTTTTATGAATCTGCTTTTTTAAAAAAAAGTTTTCTTATTTGAAACCTTAATTAACTTGTTTTAATGTTGAAATTTATGAGAGAGCAGTAGCCCCTGCTTCCCACCATCACAAATTCTCTTCAGTTTCCAGTAATCATGTGATCTCCTTCTTCTTTAAAAAAATGCAGGTTTGGGCCAGGCATGGTGGCTCACACCTGTAATCCCAGCATTTTGGAAAGCCGAGGCAGGAGGATTATTTGAGGCCAGGAGTTTGAGTTCCACCTGGGAAACATAGTAAGACCCTGTCTCTAAAAAAATTTTTTAACTAGCTGGGCATGATGCCTCATGCCTGTAGTCCCAGTTACTAGGGGGCTGAGGTGGGAGGATCATTTGAGCCTAGGAGTTCAAGGCTTCAGTGAGCCACGATCGTGCCACTGCACTCCAGTCTGGGTGACAGAGCAAGACCTTGTCTCTTAAAAACAGAAAAAGGAGGTTTGTTACATTTTATAAAACCGCTTCCAGGTAGAGCTGCAAATTAAAAATTCAGTGATAAATGAAGAGGGAAAATCCCTATCATTTCCTTATTTCCTCTTTTGAGTACTAAGATAATTAAAACCAAAATGTGCTGATTGGGCATTATTTGGGTGTCATCCTTTGGGGAACTTTGTTTTCTGTTTGCAGATATTGCGGTGGTGGAGATGAGCGATGCCTTCCGGCAACCATCCTTGTTTTACCACCTTGGGGTGAGAGAAAGTTTCAGCATGGCCAACAACATCATCCTCTACTGTGATACTAACTCGGACTCTCTGCAGTCGCTGAAGGTACCTCCCTTGTTTACTGAATGTTTCATTTTAGCATCAGCATTTCAGGGATACCGGTTTGTCATCCAAACATTTTAAGTAGCTTTTATTTGTGAAAGGCGTTTATATGTGTGGTCAGTATGCACCAATTACTAGTCAAATTGGGAGGTTTATTGAGAATTCACTGTAGAAACTTGATGACATGAGTAGGAAAAAAGTTCACATTGAGTTCTGAGTTTCACTTATGGTTGTAACGGAGGAGACTGTGTTAATAGGAAGTCATCAGCACAGACGTGGAGAAGGGAGATTGCATAAGGTATGGTCAAACCTTCATGCTCTGTCACTTTTGGGAGCTTCCTGGTGCCCACCAGTCTCCTAACTAAAAGTACACTTCCTCCTTGAAAGTGCTCTGAGAAATTCTCTCTGAGTATACCAAAATAGTTGGCATCCTCTTTCACTAGGGTGTGATTTAAACTAAGATGGAAGAAAAGGAAGAGAAACTTACTGTGTTTGTCTACAAAATTCAACCTGTCTTAATGTCATTCTCTCCAGTAATAGGAACTTACTGCTATAAAGGCATTTCCTCCGTCCAAAAAAATTTGCCTAAAATGCTTTTTGCAAGGCCAAGTGATTTTACACTGTATGATTCTTTGAAAAGCATCCCACAGTTCAGTGAAACGCATGCTGTGCTTGCCATCATCCGTTTCTTTTGTGAAACTTCCAGCTAGCTTCATGTGGCTTTTTCTCAGCTCTGTCTTCCAGTTCCCAAATCTGAGCCAACCTTGCGACATTGAGCTCTAGAATCCTGAACCATATTACTGATGACTTAGCAATTGTTCTATGAGTATCTCTAACCCATATTTCATGCAAAAAAATGTCAATAGCATTTTGAATTCTGAGTATTTAAAGCATGTGTGACTTTCTTTGAGAAATCTGCAGAACTTCATTGAGCAAACGTACCTACTACATGCCAGGCATTGTGCTGGTGATCGACAGGCATATCCCTTTCCAGAATACCCTGAAACAGTTCTAAGAGATTTGCCCCTATTGTCCTAAGTCTGTTTTTTGTCCTAGAGCAATCCTTGACCTGGAGCAATCCTTAAGCCCCTCCTTAATTTTCCTCCAGATTTACCTCTTTAATTAATACATCATAAAATGTTGTAACTCATTTTTAATTAGACATTTTGATTTGCTGCTATTTGTAGCACATATTAGCATTTGATGAAGGAATTAGATTATTTGATTTAGCTCTTTTCATTTTTCTTTGGATTAAGTTTATGTATGTATTTATTTATTTAGGGTCTCACTCTGTCACCCAGGCTGGAATGCAGTGTTGTGATCACCGATCACTGCAACCATGACCTCCTGCGTTCATGTGATCCTCCCTCCTCAGCCTCCTGAGTAGCTGGGACTACAGGCGCATGCTACCTCACCCAGCTAATTTTTCTCTTTTTTTGCAGAGATAGGGTTTTGCCATGTTGCCCAGGCTGGTCTTGAACTCCTGGGTTCAAGTGATTCTCCCACCTTGGCCTCCTAAAGAGTTGGGATTACAGGTGTAAGCCACCACACCTAGACAGATTAAGTTTATTTAAGCAGGTACTATTACGTTGGAGATTTTTTACTCTCTACATTTTTTTGCTCTTGCTCCTACTAGTATCTGGTGATTTAATTTTGTGCCCATTCTTTCCTAGGGAAGTATTCTTAAATTCTTTATTGTAACAACACTTATTTTTAAATACTTCCCTAGGAAAAGGTGTGGCAGCACATGCCTAGCCAGATGTGGCAGCACTTGCCTATAATCCCAGCTACTTGGGAGGCATGAGAATCCCTTGAACCAGGAGGCAGAGGTTGCAGTAAGCTGAGATCACACCACTGCACTCCAGCCTGGGCAACAGAGCAAGACCCTGTCTCAAAAAAATCCCAAAACAAAGAATAATAATAATAATAATTCTTAAAAGAGCTCTGTGAGATGTATATTCTATTAGCATTTTTTTAATATCACAAACTGAAGCCCAAAGAAATTCAATCATTTGCCTAAGGTGATATAGCTAGGAAAATTTGGAATTAGGACTGCCTGACTCCAAAGCCTGTTGCCCTTGACCGCTAAACATTATTGCATTATTGTCGGTTACTTCTAGTTAAAATTATATCATATATTTCTGCTGAGCGTATTCATTTAGAAAAACCTATCAGCTATGTCTCCTGAGTTTTCGTAGGTAACATCCGTCTTTTTTTCTTTATTCTTTATTCCCTTTTATTAACTGAAACTTTTGCTGTTTTCTTATTTAGACTATTCCTAGCCTGGTAGGTCATGTGTCTGGTTGCAGAGGACAGAAATATCTGGGATAGGAAGCATTTTTGGCAGTCTAGCAATTTCCTCTGAGTCCTGAAAGTTCCTCAGGTCCTGTGCTACTGAAAAGAATTGGTGTGTGTATGTATTTTTAGTTTTATTCATTTCTGGGCAGTTAGTTAAAGATGTAACCCTTATTCCTGCCATTGACCAACAGATAGGAAAACTGCAATGAAATAAACAGAACAAGAGATATTTAAAATAATATATCATATAAGGATTAGCCAAGCGAAATAAAAACAAAGCATCCCTCTGTTTTCACAGGGCAAAGACAGTTTTAGAATGCTATTCTTGTCATATGTTTAGTTTCACTTAGGTTGATTCTTTGGCCATCTAGAAAGTACAGCTGCACAAGTTTTATTTTAATCTGTTGCTCTTTGTTGAAGACTGCAGTTTCTCTTTGGCGGCAAATTCTCAGGAAGAAATCGTAGGAAAAAAATTTTTTTTTTTTTAATTTAAGCTCCTGGAAAAATAATGGGAGCTATAAAAGTATTTTAAAAATCTATGTCTGAAGTATCATTTGAAAGGATATTTAGAATCTAGTCATGGCATTTAATTATAATAAGCTTTATATCCATTGTTTTAAATCACAAATACTATCAAGTACTAAAGAATGAAAAATTTTGGTTTTTTTTTTTTTTCTTTTTTAAGAAAAGATGACCATTACACTTTGAGAGAAGGAAGTTGATTTTTTTTTTTTTTTTTTTTTAGTGCAATGGAGCAATCTCGGCTTACTGCAACCTCCGCTTCCAGAGTAGCTGGGATTATAGGCATGTGCCACCACACCTGGCTAATTTTTACATTTTTAGTAGAGATGGGGTTTCACCATGTTGGCCAGGCTGGTCTCGAACTCCTGACCTCAAGTAATCTGCTCACCTCAGCTCCCCAAAGTGCTGGGATCACAGGCATGAGCCACTGTGCCCGGCCAATTCTTTTTCTTTTCTTTAGCATTGTAACAACACTTATTTTTTATAATTTTCTTTAAATAAATCTCATGAGAATTTCTCATGTGCCTACTAATGTTTATTGAGAGAATATCTGTGCCAAGATTTACATTGGTTTAAAATAAGAAATGCTAGTAACAATTACTCTGTGATTTATTTCATGCATTATGAAATGATCATACTTCCACTTGAGGTCTCTCAGTAAGTGGTGAGTAAGTCTGGACACTCCTGGTCAATGAGCTGTGGCGCAGATGGCGTTAAACACCTCTGATGACTTAGGAGAAATGAAGCCGTTTTGTGTAGAGTGAGGAAATTGTTTTCATGAACCATCTCTTATCACTAGAAATTCCTTTATAACACCAGCTCTCAGCTCATCTTCTTGTGATCCTTTCCTCCACTCCCTTTCTCAGCTCCTTCTCTATGTTCTGGGCCACTCCCCACTCACTTTAAACAATTGTACTATAAAACAAAGCAAAACAAAACGATGAAACATGCCTGCACGTGCCAGATAGTCAAGAATTAAAACCTCTTATACTACAGATGGCCAGGTTGTGGAGAGTGGGAAACCTACGCACTACTGGTGGGAGAGATAGTACCTTCTGAAGCGTAATTTGGGGATATTTAATAATATCAAATGAGCATATCACCAAGACTTAGTCATTCTGACCCTAAATGTATACTGTAAAAAAAGTCTCTTGCATGCATAAGGAGATATAATCAAGAATGTTTATGTTAACATGTTTATATAACTCCTCCTCCCAAAGAAATGGAGAATTAATAGATACCTTCAGCTGTAATCTTTTTTTTTTTGAGACTGTCTTGTTCTTTTGCTCAGGCTGGAGTGCAGTCATGCTATCTTGGCACACTGCAACCTCTGCCTCCTGGGTTCAAGCAATTCTCCTGCCTCAGCCTCCATAGTAGCTGGGATTACAGGTTCCCGCCACGACGCCCAGCTGATTTTTATATTTCAGTAGAGATGGGGTTTCACCGTGTTGGCCAGGCTGGTCTCGAACTCCTGATCTCAAGCAATCCACCCGTGTTGGCCTCTCAAAGTGCTGGGATTACAGGTGTGAACCACCATGCCCAGCCAGCTATAATTATTTAATGGAATATTATAGAGCACTTAAAACGAATCAGCTAGTGCTTTAGACATCAATATAAATATATCTCAAAACAACAGTGTTGGGGGAAAAAACAAATTACTTGTGTACAGTCTCATACCATCTATATAAAATATCATGTGCAAGAGGATGTTTTTATACACACTTGTGTTAAAAAAGGATAGACGTGTATGGGAATTATAAGCAGCATTCAGAATAGTTACCTCTTAGGAGATAGGAATGGAATAAAATTGAGAAGGGAATATGAGAGTCTTCAACTATATCTGTGATGTTATATTTCTAAATCTAGGTGGTAGACCATGAGTGCTAATTTTTATACTTTTTATATACTTGAAATATTTAATAATTAACCTTTTTCTTAAAAAAAGGAATAGATTGCTATATTCTTGTATTTTTTTGTATCCATCAGGATAACGTACATGCGTTTTGGACGCTGGAATCCCAAAATATTTGTAGTGTCTTTTTTCTATGTTCTGGCTGTGGTTAGAAAGCTTCAGATATTTGGATATTTCCCTTTCTGCACTCAAACAGACTTTATTCTCATTTTATCCATTAAATGAGATGTTTCCATGTTTCTTGATAGATTGGTAGGCAGATCAGTTAGTG